TTATATGTCAATTGATGTTACTCTTTTTTGACGCATTTTACAAACAATTAATGGTCCTCCAATCTTTCTCAGTCACTTCTTTAGATTAATTAAGTTCCCAAATGTTATGTTGTAGGATTTTATTTACCACTATCCCATTTCTGTCTTTTTATTGGCCGCTATCCCGTTTATGTTTTCAGTTATCGCTGAATAATTCAGCCTGCTGTGAAAGCGTTTACTTACAAAATAAATACAACGTATAATTCGATCACACGATTTTTGAAAAATCTATCTTTATGCCTTAGATAAATATAAGTGAAAAATCAACTTGGTCATCGTCGGTAGGCAGCCATTGTTATCTTCGGTTGGCAGCCATGTCTGACGGTTGACAAGGACTCGATTTCAAACACGGTGGAACAGAACTAAGGGTCTCGGTCATTGCTGTGAATTCTGGCGCTAATACCTTCGTCGGTGCTGCGCCATATCCTCATAAACTGAATGATTCGGTTCTATTGTGACATCCCCCACGTATGCCTCAAGTTAGTGATGTTTCGAGTACTTAAATGAAAAAATTGTCAGCTGTCATTAATTAAAATCCGTTAGCCTGTTACTCTTGTGACATTCAAATTGAATCACTGCATTTGACATGCCAAGACAGCCAAGTTAAGAAAAATTGTGTTACGACTTTAAAAGCTTGGAAATGTTCTTGTTCAACTTACATTCTATTAGTTATATTTCTGACCAGTTTTGCATGGTTATAGTGTATTTTTTAGGAGAATGTTTTATGCGCAGCAGCTCCAGCCGTCACTGGCTTTGTGTGCGGACAGTGTAGGCTGTGTGCTGGCTGTAGCCTGTGTGTGAGCTAGGCTGGAATACTAACCAGTGGCAATACTGTAGCGTGTGGACTGTATATGGATGGCGACTTCTGCATCACTATTTAATGTTTAATGATATGAATTGATAATTATTTCAATAATTGATTTATGTACTGATGTGTAAGAACACCTTTTCGAGTTGTTGACAACCAATTTGTTTTCTCATCTGAACGTTGCAGTTCACTTCAGCAGTAACAACTAGTATAGCATAGACAGCATAGTAGTGTCAGTGCTGAAGAATAGGCCAAGTTTTCACCGTCACCAAGTCTTGTAATTTTATAAACAGTGGGCCATGGAGGAGTTCAAATAGTGGGTCATGAAGGTGTTCAAACAGTGGGTCATGAAGGAGTTCAACCCAGTCAAAAATCAAAGGCGTATCGCCGGCGTGATTAAGGAGATTGAGGTAGAGACGCTCGGTTGGGGCGCCCGAGTAACATCTCCGCATCATCGACGAAATGTCCATTTTTTTATGCGCGACGGTTCGCTCTTAAACGGCACGCGGCCGCGGAGCGTTTCATAGACTGACCGAGCGCGGCAGCGCCTCTATCATAGGCGCAACGTGCATGAAACTCCGGCGCAACTTACATGGCCGCCTGTAATTATTTATTTAAAAAAAACCTCGGCGGTATATCGCCGAGATTATTGCCTCTGCACTACCATGCTGGATATGCATACACATTCATGTGAACGTGCATGCATTTCCAGCATGACAGTACAAGCAAAGAATCTCGGGATATACAGCCGAGGACATATTAAAATTATCAAATACTAATTCTCATAAAACATCAACAATAGTAGGGTTTTGAATACAATGAAACGTTTGGCAACTGGAAAAATATATTGAAAAAATAAATTTAATGAAGCCAGGTCAGCATTGAAGTGATAACCGCCATGCCAACGTTTTATTTAAACTAGTCTCTCAAGTCTCAGTTTAACGGAGACCAATTACCACTTGGCGAGAATTGACCATTTAGTAACTAGTTGTCGGGACTGGATGTCCATGAGTTGTGTGGCTAACGATGCTCCGTCCTTCGCCAATAACATTCGTATATTAGTAGGGAGTGTGAACGTGTCAAATGGTGATAGGTGCGGTGTTGACGGTGACTACACATTGCGACAAATGGGGGAACTGTATGACAAAGAGGAACATATTCAGACACGAGTGGTAGCTTGCAGGTAATTATGCATGTGCGAAACATTCTAACACATTCAGCCGTACCAATTGGTCTATCGAACTGATTTGCAAGTCTATAAAATTCTTCCTACAGAGGTTGTCAAGAAGAATAGATCAAATGCTATCGTCGAAATTCCAGTAAGAACTTGTGACCATCCTAACATTGCCATGTTCAATGGAAAGTTGTTATACGAATGTTATTGGCGAAGGACGGAGCATCGTTAGCCACACAACTCATGGACATCCAGTCCCGACAACTAGTTACTAATTCTTCGAAAATTACCCAATTCACATTACTTCGATTTCACTCTGGGACCAAACCCAAGGATACAACGAAAAGCAAGCATATAATTACAATGAACCAATAACTTGATTACTTACAGAGTTGAACTTGAGACTATACGATTTCTATCCATGTTTGTACGCGTTTCTCTAGCAGCGACATGGTGACCGTTACTGCTTGAGCTTGACTGGTGAAAACTAAGCCTAACCATGCAGTTGAACTTGAGTGAACTGGCATTTCCACACATGAGTCAAGCTTTCTCGATGAGATAGAAATTAAAACCTGAAGTATATGGACACGAGCAGCTAAAAAAACATGATCATGTCAGCATATACCTCGAGTTAAAAATTTCAATTACTGCCAGTTTCGGAATCTTCTAAACGAAGTAGAATGCCGGCATAATGGCGACACTAGGCTAAGCCTATATTCCCGTAATACCGGTAGCGCTGACGTGTTTCCATTGAACTCCACTTGCAGAACCATTGTCCAGAAAAACGAATACATTTCTAGTAATGTTCAACTTTTAAAATATATAATTTTCAAGTCAAATACTTCACAAGTTTACTTTTCCCACTACTATTGCAGGATTGCAATGAGCAATGTTTGCCGTTCACGTGTGATCATCACTACTACAACTTTTGAACTAACGCCGGATGCAGCGCAGCCCACCCGGCAGCTGCGTCAGGGCAAACTCGAACGTACGTGTAACTTTGTATAAACTACTCACTGCCTCAAGCTGCATCAAGTTAAACAGGAATAATATTTAAACAGTTAAAGAGGCCAGCAACAAATTTTGCCCTGCGAACATAATAGAGTAACTATGAGGAAAAAGAACCGTAAAGCATTGACCAGGTTTTGTCATCGAGGTTGTTCAAACTAATGACTAAACTTTTTTATTCGCTCAAAAAGGATGTGTGATGACTGAGCAGAGCTATGTACGCTATGTATGACACTCACGCCCAGTAACCGCCATTGAATGAAACGATCATACTACACTGAAGGAATTATTTGAACCGAACCACGATATGGTGTACGCATGTACTTACATACATAAAGTACGCATTCAAACGTACGCATGTACTTACATACATCAACGCAGAACGAGCTTTTAGTCAAACTGATAAGCATTCAAATCATTTAAATTGATTATGAACTTAGCTCACATTCTTTTTGTCAAATAGAAGTATTCCATTTAACAAGAAAGGGACAGTGTTCTGAGATGTCTAAAAATGCAGTGTCTCTGTGTAAACATCGGTATACGATAGCATCAACGGTGTTTTGTTCAATGGGAGTGGATGTCAAAGTTTAAGTTTAGGTTCGAACACCAACTTAAGCACGCACGTGTTCGATTGAGGAATCGATTATATATAGCAGCCGAAACATGGTCGTAAGTAGCAGGCGGCCCCTCGTTTGTAAACAACCTTAAAGTCTCGCGCAAATTATCGCCGATGGTCGCAGAGCGGCCCGTCCATCGCCTCCCGCCGACGAGCGCTATATCGCCGAGATTTGGGAAAAGCGGCCAATCTGCCGTTCCGCGCTCATAATCTCCCTCCACGCCGATAAACAACGGCGCCACGGCCTTAAATTTTAACTGGGAAATAGTGGGCCATGGAAGAGTTCAAATAGTGGGTCATGGAGGAGTTCAAATAGTGGGTCATGGAGGAGTTCAAATAGTGGGTCATGGAGGAGTTCAAATAGTGGGTCATGGAGGAGTTCAAATAGTGGGCCATGGAGGAGTTCAAATAGTGGGCCATGGAGGAGTTCAAATAGGAAGCTCGTTGAGTGAGGGAAGCTCGTTGCTCACGAAAATCAGTCATCAAAAAACGACGAGAGCCCAAACCCAAAACAGAAAAATAATTGTGATGGACGAACAAGGCCTCCTATATAGGTCAGCGCTGCTCGGCACACTAACTACGGAATGTCAGCAACATTTGCACGTGCTGGGAAAACGTGGTACTACCAAAACTTCGCCCCCACACAGTCAGTCCGGTTATTAGCGCATTTCTCATTTATGGAAAAGATGCACTATTGTGCTCGCCATGTCCGTCTGTCTATCTGTCTGTTTGTCCGTCGAAACGTCCGTCCGTGACCTCAAATTTTCGTCGACGAGAAAATGCGCTCTTTTTCACTCACTGCAGTGAGTACAGAGTTACATTTTTTTGTGATCCCGCTTTCGTACGCGGTTATTTAATATACACATTATACACGTCATCTATACACATAATACTCGTCATTTTAGTATATGATTTTTCTCAAAGTCACCACGGTAGCGAAAAATTCTCATGATTGTAAATGTTTTTATCATTCGTTTCATTGACTTTAAAATTTGGTGATTTTTGAAATTTGTTCAATTTAAATGGCTTGGACGAAAAGGAAGAAATACACTATTTTCATATTAATACGATTTTACTGAGGTAGTTTTATGTTCAGTCCGAACGTTAATTCATAATCTGATGCAGAGTATTTATTCGTCCACGCTGTACCAGCGCGAGCCTCGGGTTTACTGTTATATTGGCTCGTATATATTGGCCTCTTGAAACTCAAGATGATTCTGTTTGATGAATTAAAATAAAAGTTTCCTTGATTATTTCTTTAACTACCTGTCGATTGTGTGAAAACCTCACAAAATTGAAGATTTTTAAAATTTGTTCATTTTGATTGGCTAGGATGAAAAGGAAGAAATACGATATTTTCAGATTGATACGATTTTACTAAGGCTGTTTTATGTTCAGTCAGAACGTTAATTTATTATGCTCTGATGCAGAGTATTTATTCATCTACGCATATTGGCCTCATGAGGCGCAAGTTTGACGTCCCCCGTTGTGCAGAGTTATATATTGGCCTCATGAGGCGCAAGTTTGACGTCGCGTTCACTGGTCGCCCAGAGTTTAGCAGCGAGGCTGTCGTCGTTGGCCAGCCTGTATGTCCGCAGCTCCTGCGGTGTCGGGGCAGCACAAGAACTAATTTATAATTACTAATAAAATTGTGTTAAAGACAAATAAAACATATGCATGGTTTGGATGTGAAGAACAAATTTACAATTACTTATAAAATATGTGTAAACATAAATAAAACATATGCATGGTTCAGATGTGAAGAACAAATTTAAAATTACTAATAAAATTGTGTTAAACACAAATAAAACATATGCATGGTTTAGATGTGAATAACAAATTTACAATTACTTATAAAATATGTGTAAACACAAATAAAACATATGCATGGTTTAGAAAAAATACATGGCAATCAATTGACAGTGGAATGCGTACTACCGATATTAGTGTAGTATCTTCGGCATTGAAGAATAGCTCTGGATAGGCCTATATTGTTTAGTGACATAACATATATTGTTTAGGATTAATATTACATATCTCAGCTGATAAATGGAAACTACTAACAAAAGTAAGACTTTAGCCTTCATTATTTCACAGTTACCCTAACAAATATGAAGTTCTAGTATGGCTTAGTTTACTGACCGAAATGCAGTTCAGAAATGTACGGGATAAATATGCTTATAAATAAATAGCTCATGATGGCTCGAATGGCTGGTAGTACAGTGACAGTATATGCACAGTACTCACCCTACAGTTACTGTAGTACCGTAACTGTAACGTGCACTGTACTCACCCTACAGTCGCTGTAAATGTACTGTACTCACCCTACAGTCAATGTATAGTTACTGTACTCATCCTACAGTCAGTGTATATGTACTGTACTCACCCTACAGTCACTGTATATGCACTTTATTACATGCACTGTACTCACCCTACAGTCACTGTACATGCACTGTACTCACCCTACAGTCACTGTACATGCACTGTACTCACCCTACAGTCACTGTAGTAACGGCCGCTCTGGTGTGCTACTGCATCGTCTACTGCACAGTAGATGGTCTGTGCGCCCAGCTCAGGGCTTTGGTAGACAAATATACTCTCATCTACTTAGTATATTTCTCATCTACTTAGTAAATACCCTCATCTACTTGGTATATCTCCCATCTACTTGGTATATACCCTCATCTACTTAGTATATACCCTCATCTACTTAGTATATACCCTCATCTACTTAGTATATACTCTCATCTACTTAGTATATACCCTCATCTACTTAGTATATACCCTCATCTACTTAGTATATACCCTCATCTACTTAGTATATGCCCTCATCTACTTAGTATATGCCCTCATCTACATAGTATATACCCTCATCTACGTAGTATATACCCTCAGCTACTTAGTATATCTTTCATCCACTTAGTATATACCCTTATCTACGTAGTATATCTCTCATCTACTTAGTATATCTCTCATCTACATAGTATATACCCTCATCTACGTAGTATATACCCTCATCTACGTAGTATATACCCTCATCTTCGTACTATATACCTTCATCTACTTAGTATATACCCTCATCTACTTATAAACCCTAATCTACTCGTAGAATATCACATTGTGGGCCTGAATAAAAAAAGTAAATGTCAGGTAAGTTCAAACAAATTAAATAAAGTAAGTTATTGGCTCACGAAAAAGCAGCTCCTAATAGCAGGAATAATTAGGAATATTATTTATAATAATTAATAAATTAGCATTATGCTCGCAAAACTGTCGCCCTGACGCGACTTGTAAACTTGATAAATCTTAACAAAATTTGTTGAAATTTTGAAGTAAATTTTTAGCTTGGCATTTCACAAAACTCTCGTGCAGAGGGGCCAAGGTTATTTTACTTTAGGATATTTTTATGACACGGCAAGTTCAGTGATTGTTTCTAATAAACATCTAATATCAAGTAAATATTAGTTATTAGGTTACAAGAACTAGTCAGGTTAACTATAATAATTAACTGAATATGTCCGTTACGCTTATAACTATTTTTCGTTGCTGCTAAACAATTGACAAACAATTTATTTTGTAAATATTTCATTGCGAAAGTCGAAGTAGATGCTGGTGCTATTCTATACAAAATCTAGTTTTATTCCGGAACATGCACACGTAATTAAACGTAACAACAATTAACGTAATTAAAGTTTCCTGATTATAGAGTTAAGCTAAAAAAACATAATTAGATATTAAATTTGTGATGATAATACATGACTGTGAGAAAAAATAAAAATGTTTTTCTGAACTCTAAATATGGCCTACAGAAGATTCTGCAGTCGTTCGTTTGAATATGTCTATAAAATATGTCTATAAAATATGTCTATAAAATATGTCTATAAAATATGTCTATAAAATATGTCTTGTATGCATCAATACAGGCTCGTAATGTATACGACTGTATGAATAAATACTGTCATTCATCTAAACAGGTGAGTACTCACACAACTCTTAGTATGTGAGTACTCACATAACTCCTACGTGCACGTGTACACATACACACGTATAGACAAACACGTACAAGCGTATACGTTGCAGTGTACTCACCTTACTCATGAAGCACAGAAAATTAGCAAACCAGTCGGCCACATGTACGGAGTAGGGTGACATGGGGCAGCGAGCCCACTGCGGGTCATGGGCCCATAGCGGGTTTCTCGCTAAGTATGGCAGATATTTTCACTAATTTTTGTACCCCGATTTTCCTTGTCATTTTTTGGCGATCAATCAAACAGTTATTTTTTATATCGCTTCTGTTAAATTTGTACTCAATTTTTTCATTAATTTGTCTTTCGATTTTACTAGCATATTCATTTAGAGAAAAAGTCAGTTCACCGAAACGCTTCCCTTTTATTCAGTCAGTCGTGAAGCACTTTACACTTCACTGATGTTGAATCTCTTGTGAATAGTTATATTGTGACGTGTAAATTTGTGTGTGATATTTGGGAATTATTGTGAGATCTAAATTTGAGTTGTGATATTTGTGAATTGTAGTTTTGTTAGGAATAACTAGGATTAACTACTATTGCTGCATCTTGTTAAGTTCATTACTTTCGTTTACAGAATCATATTAGTTCATGACTACGAACAATAGATTCAGTGCGTGCCAGCCGCTGGGTTTATTTTGAGTTTACTTTGGGTTCATTTTGTTTTTGCTTCTGTTTTCCTCTTCATGTTCAGTATTTACCAGGGCCTTCGTTACCAATAAAGTATCAAGAATACAAGTTCTCTTCCCTGCACGGTTAAAGTTCGGTTGTCTGGCTGGCGCTGACGTAAGAGCGTTCGGTAGTCACCGTCGCGCTTACAGAATGAATTCCGGACTCCACGTCCATCTCCATCGCGCTCACTCCGCAACACTTGCGTCGCAGGTTGCCAGCTCGTCTGAGTATTTCTGCTGTGCCCAGTGTTTGCTTGTTGAAGGTTAGCCTGGCAAATGCATTTTTATTAAAATCACGCACCGCTACAATTGAAAACAGAGATTAATTTTGGTAAGCTCTCCTGTCTCTAATTCCAGTCCGCTCTTAGAGAATCTCCACTGACTTCCAATCGCTCAATTCTTTACGCGATCCTATGAATTAAAAGGATTTCCAGTGACATTTATTCACCCTTTTATATTCGCGTTATTTCCGTACAATCCACGTGACCGAGAGATGTTCTCAGAGGAAACAATGGAGGTCAGGGAGGTCACCGAAACAACAGGGAAGTATTCACGAGTCGGCCAACCTCCAGGCAAAATAACAATTGAAATGAACCTCCAACCGCAAGTTCTCGTTCATTAATAAATGTTAAATCTATTAGACTCGCCCGCCTACCGTCCGCCTCGAGCAGCGTTTTTGCCTGTAGGGCTAAATCGGGGCAAACACCTGCAGGAGAATTAGGAGGAGTGGCTAAGTCTGCAAGGCGTAGGTGATGGGGGCGTGGGTTGGGAGTTTTTGGGAGAAGGCGTGTCTGGCTTTGGGGTGATGTGTTTCATAAGCAGCAGCAGGAGCCCTTACGTCTTCAGTTAAGAGCTGCACTTGATTCAAGTCACGAGGCACGTAATCTCCGCTGAGACACTTCAAAGAGTAACATAGCACGTGTGGACAGCGTCATATCATTTGTCTCGTCATGGCAGACGTCACTGTTCATCACGCCGCGAATTATCTCGCGAATGTAAGTCTTTATCATCTTATTTCAAATGGATAGTTAGCACATTGGTGATCGTTTCATTCGTCTGTGTGATGCGTCATCACTCATTTGCCTCTTATCCAGTGATTTAATTGATGATATATGTCGCCGAGTCTCATTAAGTGTGGCCGAAGCAGCGAAGTAATGAACTTGCCAGCATTAAAGTATTGCCACTTTATCATAATCTGTTTGTTGTCAGTTGTCTCTTGTAGAATTATTCCTGTTTTTATAGTCGCCATTTCGTTGACAGCCCCAAATCCAGCAAGACGAGTATCCTGATCGCATCAGCTTCTCATACGACATCAGCCAAATTAGGCAAGACTTAACAAAGCAAAGCTGAGTGAAAGTAATCATAATCTATTATATATTTGTGAACGTTTATTTGTGTGTTGTTGGGAGCCCACCTCGGTAGCGTGGATACCGCAACTCCCGCAGAGGACCTGGCGTTGTAACTTGTTCGAGGCTCGGGCTAAAGTATTGCACATTTTCCTGCAGTTAATGCACTCTGAAGAATTAGCCGCGGAGTCTTCTAACATTTTAAATAAATTATAAGTTCATATTCCATACATCGGTCCTTATTGTTGGGTATAATTTTAATACGTTTTCAGTGCCATGCATAAATAAAATCTATATTAATAAAATTTTCATCAATTTTCTGCAAAGCAGATTTGCTTTTATGCTTGGCATACATTTCTGATAGATCTCAGTACAAATTTACTATTTCTTATTGTAATTATACCACAATTTACACAACTCAACACAAATTTTGCTATGAATTCAATATACATCTTTCCTGCACGTGACATAAAATGTAATTGCCTCCAACATGCGTTTGACGTCCATTCTACA